AGAACCAGAAGCTCCGTATGGAGGTGAGCAGGGCCAGCTGGCAGATGCCCCTCGGTGCCCACCTATGCCCTGCTCTCTATGGGGGGACCCGAGCTGCCCCCTCAGAGAGACAGGAGGTCTTGTCTGTCACACTCAGCCCCTCCAACCCTCTCCCCCAGGCCACCAACATCGCCACTGAGACCTGTCAGTACGAGGACCAGGAGCAGCAGCTGATGATTGACTGCGTGGAGCAGTTTTGTACGTGGGGCTGGCTCGGGGGTGTGGGGGCACTGCCCGGCGGTGTGGGCTGGGACTGGGTACCGTGCCCGGCGGTGACAGACCCGGCCCTCCCGCAGCCCAGGCGAGCCAGCAGGTCGCTCACCTGTCGGAGGAGCTGGCGCACAGGGCGGAGGAGGCGGCGCGGCAGCAGGAGGAGATCACGCAGCTCCTGGCGCAGGTGGCGGAGCTGCAGCAGAAATGTCGCACGGTGAGGGTCCCCTGCCCGTGCCGGGGGAGGGCGGTGCGGGCACAGCGCCCTGACCCGGCCTCTCCTGCCCGCAGTACGGCTCCGAGGTGGAGGAGCTCCAGCAGCACCTGAGCGCGGCCAAGGAGGTGCAGCAGCAGCTCCGGATGGAGGTGAGCCCGGGGGGCCCGGCCTGGCGGGGGGGTCCTGCCCCGGGGCCGTGCTCCAGCTGTGCCCGCGTCCTGGCAGCTGCGGGACGTGCAGGAGAAGTACGCGGAGTGCGGCGGGATGCTGCAGGAGGCCCGGGAGGAGGTGAAGAGCCTGCGGAGCCGCAGCGTGCCCAACAGCACCGTCAGCCGCTACAGCGCGGCCAGCCTCCTGCCCCTGGTGAGCGCGGGGCCGGGCGAACGGGGGGTCCCTGCTGCCCCCCCCCCGGCACTGACACTGCCCACCCCGCTCCCCAGGACTCGCTGGCGGCCGAGATCAAGGGCATGATGAGGAAGAGGACGGACAGCTCCTGCTCAGACTACAAGTGAGTGCTGTCAGCATCGGGGCTCTCGCTGCGCCCTGGGACAGGCTCCGGCTCACCCCGCGCTGTTTCCTGCCCACAGGAGCTGCCAGCGCGTCTTTGACACCGTGAGGGCCGTGAACCGGACAGCCAAAGCCAAGTCCTGCTCCGAGTCTCCCCACCATGTCCCGGGCTCCGAGCAGCTGTCCACTGCCCACTCTGGGGGAGGCAGCACCCCCCACACCGACTGCTCCGGCTCGGAGGGTGCCCAGTGAGTGCTGGGGGGGAGAACGGGACCGGGTGTGGGGGGGGAACGGGGACAGGTGGGGGAGAACGGGGCCGGGTGGGAGGGAACGGGGGGAACGGGGCCAGGTGAGGGGGGAATGGGGGGAACAGGGACAGGTGGGGAGAACGGGGCCAGGTGGGGGGAGAACGGGGCCAGGTGGGGGGAGAACGGGGCCAGGGGAGAACGGGGACACGTGGGGAGAACGGGGCCGGGTGAGGGGGGAACGGGGCCGGGTGAGGGGGGAACGGGGGGAACAGGGACAGGTGGGGGGAGAACGGGGCCGGGTGGGGGGAATGGGGGGGTGGAGAATGGGGCCAGGTGGGACGGCGGCTGCTCCTGCACAGGAGCTGGGGTGCTGCTGACCAGCACGGGGTGCAGGGCAGGGCTGCAGCCCGAACGCTGTGCTGTGCTCGCCAGCAGGGCCGCGGGGCCCGGCGAGGAGCCGCGGGCAGCCCCGGGCCGGCGGGACCTGGAGGCGGCGGTGCAGCGGCTCTCGGTGCGGCAGCAGAGCCACGTCTCCGAGGAGCGCTCCTTCTTCGAGGCCGAGCGGGAGCGCAAACTGCGGCGGCTGAGAGATGGGGAGAGCTCCAGTGGCTTCCTCAGCCCCGAGGGCAGCGTCGTCTCCACTGGCACCAACTACTCGGGGGGCTCGGAGCTCACCGCTGGCTCCAGCTTCTCCCTGGGCTCCCTCGCCTACCTACCCGACAAACTGCAGATTGTGAAGCCGCTGGAAGGTGAGGGGCAGAGGGGGTGCAGAGCTTCAGGTGCTCTGAGGGTCCAACACCCCCACCTGAGTTCCCCCCGGCCGTGTACCCCCAGGCTCTGTGACACTCCACCACTGGCAGCAGCTGGCGCAGCCCAACCTGGGTGGCATCCTGGTGCCCCGGCCCGGGGTGCTCACCAAAGACTTCAGGCAGCTGGACATCGACCTGGAGGAGGTCTACAGCCTCAATGACCTGGAGGAGGATGATGTGGACGCCAGCTCCTTCCAGCTGCTCCCTACCTCAACACCCGCCAAAGCCAAGGAGCGCTCCAGGGGTGAGCGGGGGGTGAGGGGACGCAGCCCCCGGGGTGCCCCTCCTGCCTTTCTGTCTCGGCTGGGCCTCGCCTCCCCCCGCGCTCTCCCCTCTTGCAGCAGCCTGTCCCTGCCACGCCGCTGTCCCCGCGGGGATGCTCCGCCTGCAGCCGCTCAAGGGCCGTTCTCGGGCGGCTGCCCCGGCGGGGTGAGCCCTCCTCATTGCCCTGGAGAGCCCCTGCTGCCCCCCGGCTGCCTGGAAGGGGCCGGTCTGGGACAAACGGCATCTCCTGGTGCCACCTGTGCTGGCTGCCCGCTCTGAGCAGGCACCAGATGCAGTTGCTGCTGGAGCTGTGCCCCATGCAAGGAGCTTCCAGCTCAGCTTTGGCTGTCCCGCCCGCCCTTTGCCGTGCCCTCCACCTGTGTCCTGACCCCTTGTCTCCTGTCCCTTCCAGTGTTCCTCTCTGTTAACAACCTCCCCCAGACCCCGTCTACCTTCACCATCACCACCTGCCACATCCTCCACCCCACCACCGCGATCACCACGGTGACACCCAGGTAAGGCGCGTGGCCCCGCCGCCTGCGCTGCCTGCCCCGGCCCCGCCGTGCCCCCCAGCTCCCTCCTCCTCCTCCTCCCCCCATGCCTGGCTCCCTGCAGCTCGAGGAAGGGGCAGGCCGGGGGGCACCTGCAGCCCCTGGTGCTCTGGGAGGTGCCAGCACTAGAAATATCCCCAAATCTGGCTGCTGGGGTGCCTTTGTGCCCGGGGCTGGCACCCCGAGGGACACTGGAACCGGCCCCCTGATGGATGCAGAGCCTTCCTCGGTGGGCTCGCCCAGGGCAGCAGCACCCCGGGCACTCTGGGGAACTGACACAGCTTTCCTCCCTCCACGCTTGGGCAGCAGCCAGGAACTGTTCGCAGGCGGGTGCTGGGCTGTCCCTTCATTAATGAGCACCGGTGATTAGCCCTAATGAGCCCCCCTAAGGCTCGTTGGGGGTTGGTGTGAGCTGGAGTTCACTGTCAGACAAAACCTCGGTGTCTGGAAATTGCTCGTGGAGCAGTGGCTGTGTCCCAGTCTCTCCTGGCTGCTGAGGAGCACCCCCAGCACTCCTCTGGGAGCTTTGGGCCGCAGCACAGGGGTCTCCTACAGCCCAAGGCTCTTGAGGTGAAGAAGGGGGCCCTGCTCTGCCTGCAGCCCTGCCTGGCCCCTTCAGCAGCATCCCCCAGGCCAGGCCCCCAGCTGATCCCCACTTCTGCTCTCTCTTCCCTCCAGTCTGTATCATGCCGTCGTGCCTTCTTGTGGGTCCTTTGAGGGGCTGAGCCTCGGCAGCCCCCCACCAGAACAGGCTCCCCCCACACTGGCGCTTGGCCCTGGACCCCCGAGCACCCCCCTGGGACTCTTCAGGCTCTTGCTGGGGCGAGATTCCCCCTTGGCACCAGGGACTGGATCACGGTGGGCCCCCTCACTGCACTCCCAGGACCCTCAGCACTCTGAGCCACAGCCCTCCCCTGTGTCCGGGGCTCAGGATGGCCCCAGGAGCAGCACCTTCAGCTGGAACCTGGTGGAGAAGCTGCAGCGCCTAGGGCTGGACAAGATGGTGGCCAGAGGGGAGATGCCCTGTGCCCAGCCAGGGCCCAGAGAGGCTGGGGCACCCAGAAGTGATGCTGCTGCAGAGCCCTCAGGGTGAGGCACAGCCTCTTCCTCACCCATCCACGGGGAAAGGAGACGGGACAAGCTTCAGCCTCAGCTCCTGGTGCTGCCCCAGCTCCATCAGCCCCCCTGGCACCAGCATGGGGGCTTTGCCCTGGCTGCAAGGGCAGAACCCGGCACTGCTCCCCATCTGTGGGGGGTACAGGGGGTGCTGGCTGACCCTGTCCCTGCTGGGGGAGTCTGGACCCTGCACAGGAGCCAGTTTCTGGCAATAAAAACTGTTCCTGCTTCTGCTGAGCCTGTCTGAGGAGCGAGGGGCAGCTTGGCCCATTTGGGACTGTCCAGATGCTGCAGCGAAGGGCAATGGCCAGTCTGAGCTCGGGTGCGTCCTGGGGACCCCCCTGGGGCCAGGGGGAGACCCCTGCACCCTGGGCTGGGCCCTGGCCAGCACCTGGACTGGACTGGCTTTTAAAGGGAATGGTGGTTTAGCTCTTTCCTGCTCACTGAATAGCAATAGTAGCAGCACCCACAGCTTGGGATGTTTCTGGGGGTGCGTCTGATGCTCCCCCAGCTGTGTCCCTCCCTCCAAGCTGTGCCCCATGCCCTGGCAAATAAATGTGAATTCACAGAGCAGCTGCTGTGTGCTGTGTCTGCTGCCACGTTCTGTGTGCGTTGTCGTGCACAGCTCTGTCTCTGCCCTGTGCATCCCCTGGGGCTGGGGGTGAATCTCCTCTGCTCTCTGGGGCTGGGGGCAAATCCCCTCTGCTCTCTGAGGCTGGGGGCAAATCCCCTCTGCTCTCTGAGGCTGGGGGCAAATCCCCTCTGCTCTCTGAGGCTGGGGGCAAATCCCCTCTGCTCACTGGGGCTGGGGGCAAATCCTCTCTGCTCACTGGGGCTGGGGGCAAATCCCCTCTGGGGCTGGGGGCAAATCCCCTCTTCCCCCTGGGGCTGGGGGCAAATCCCCTCTGCTCTCTGGGGCTGGGGGCAAATCCCCTCTGCTCACTGGGGCTGGGGGTAAATCCCCTCTGCCCCTTGGGACTGGGAGCAAATCCCCTCTGCCCCCCAGGCTCCCCCCAGCACAGGCAGGAGGCAGAGGCCATAGTGGCAGAGTTTTATTGAGGGAAAGGGCTCACACTGAGTGAGGTGTGCTCTGCCTGGCCAGCCCAGCCCAGCAGCTACGCAGCCCCAGCCTCGTCCCCAGCACTGCGGCGGCCGAAGTCCATCCAGTCGGGGTAGTAGTGGTCGTGCAGAGCCTCCATCCCCTCATCCTCATGCACAAAGCCCTTGTGCTTGTCCAGCTCTGCCAGGGCAAAGGCAGCAGTCAGAGCTGGCACGGGGCTGTGTCCCCGAGCGCTGCCCACCCTGAGTTCCCAGTACCTGCGAGGACGTGGGGCAGCAGCTGGGACAGGAGGTGCTGCTGCTCCCGGGACAGGTACTCGGGCCGGTCCCGCCGGGCCAGGCTGGGGGGGTGCTGGGGGGGGTCCCCCATGGCAGCGGGGGCCTCTGCCGGGGGCCGGCAGCGGCAGGCGGCCACGGCGAGGGCGAGGAGGAGCCCGAGGCACAGCGGCACCTTCATGGCTGTGGAGAGACCGAACGGGAGGGGAGGGGGGACAGCTGCGGCCCCTGAACTGGGACACGCTCAGCACAGTCTCCTCTGCCCCTCCCTTTGGGTCCCCAAGTCCCCTCCATCCTTTTCACCTTCTCTCCCAGTCTCCTCCATCCTTTTCACCTTCTCTCCCAGTCTCCTCCATCCTTTTCACCTTCTCTCCCAGTCTCCTCCATCCCTCTCTCCTGGCTGGTCCCCAGTGCCCCTGGAATCGAGACAGGATCCATAAGGACCAAGTCCCACTCCTGGCTCCTTGCAAGGATGCTGAAAACTAAAGCACATGGCTAAGAGCATCATCCAGCTCCTCCTTGAACTCAAACAGCTGGGAGCTGGGTTCTCCTCCCCAGGGCACGGCCAGGCCTCAGATCCCCTCTGCTCCTCTTAGTGGGTCTCTTGAGTTTCTTTGTCCCTCCCATCTTCTCCTCAGGTTTTCTCCACCTCTCTCTCCCAGCTGGTCCCCAAGTCACCTGCAGGCAGTGCCAGAGCCCTGCGAGACTCACCTGTGGGTTCTGAGGCTCAGCAGGGTGTCCTGGTGGTGTCCTGGTGATGTCCTGGTGGTGTCCTGGTGGTGTCCTGGTGGGTCTCAGGTGTCTCTCTCCAGGATCACCCCAGCTCAGTCCTGCTTTTAAAGGCCCTGCCGGGGCTGCCACACCCCAGGGCGGCTCCACACGCATCCACCCACCCCCGGGGGGCCCTCGGGCATCTGTGTGTGCTCACAGACACACAGACACACGGACACATGGACACACAGCTCTGTGTGCAGCTGCACATGCATTATTATATAATAGCAACTACAGACTACAGTGCACTGCAATGGTGTATTATATATATATATATTTATATAAATACATATATAAATAATACAGTATAATAGATAAGATTTTATACAGTATAAAATACATACATATATATAATGTGTACATTTCTAATAGATAACATAGCTGATGCATCTATGTAAATACATTCAGGTATCCACATGTACACATGTGGCTCACAGCTATGGGCATGGACACACGTGTGCACATGTGTGTGTAATTGCACGTCATGGAGTGATGGAGGGTGTGTGCAGTGAGATGGATGCATAAAGAATACCCTGACATATCTCTAGATATGTATCCGCACATACATGCACATATATACATATATACATATACATGCATGTATAGAAACATATATATATATATATATGTATAAATATATATGAATGCTTACATAAATATACATATATACACACATATGTTTATATGTACATCTATATATATGTGCATATACATGTATATACATACATACATACACATACACATACACATATACATATACATATACATATACACAAACACACACATATATATTATGTATACACACACACACATGTTGGACTCCATGATTTTTGGAGGTCTTCCCTAACCTAAATGATTCTGGGATTATGTATATATATATATATATATATATATATATATATATATATACATATATATATGTATATTTGTACACATATATCTAAATGTGTACAGATTTATACATACATGCACATACATATCTACATTTATAAATAGCAATATATATGCATCTATCCGTATAAACACACATGTACATGTACAGAATGATGTGTGTGCACACATGTGTATTCTCACATGTGTGTCTGTGTGTCTGTACACACACACACACACACACACACGGGTGCCCCCACACCCTGGCAATGAGGCTGTGCATGTTTATTGCGTGTGTTGTGCCAGGGCTCCCTAGGGCAGCCCATTCTGCCGCTCTGGATGTCTCCCTGCACCCCGAGAAGCTTTGGGGTGTTGTGGCAGGAGGGGTCCCACTCACTCTCAGAGCCCCTGAAGATCCTTGTTGCCACCCACTCACCCACTGGATATTGATGGCTCCCGCTGCCTGTATTGACCCCCCGTCAGTGTATTTGTAGAGACCATTTGTCTCCCTCCCTCAATAACCCCAGTGAGAGACATCCTGGGCTGGGGCACGTCACTGTCCCATGTCGCCGTGTCCCTAATGAGCCGTGTCGGTGCTCCTCAAACAGCCCCAAAACAAATGGGCTTTGCATGGCCGGGAGGCGGCGGCGCCCAGCACCCCACAGCCATCGATCGCTCGCTCCACCGAGCACCTTGCACAAGGAACAAACAAATTGTTTTCCAATTTCTGCCTTTTAATGGCTCAATCTGGACCAAATGAGCCGTCAGGGTGATGGGGACACGGCGACCGCGCCCTCCAGGGCCATGGGCTTGGCACACCCTGACGCAGGTTTGTTACTGGGCCCGTGGGGACTCAGGCTGGACCCTTCTCCAGGGCTGACTGCAGGACGGACTGAGCTCCCCTCTTCCCTACCTGGCTGGGGATCGCTGTCCTGGCAGCGGCCAAATCTGTCTGCAGCCTGGCAAGTCCAGCAGGAAGAAATCCGGGCTGGACGTGCTCGGACACACGAGGGGCACGGGAATTCTTGGCACAGCAGCAGCAGAGATTGGGCTGTGGGCACAAACGCTCACTCTGGAGGGAATGCTGGCCTTGGCGCTGTCAGCACCTGCTCTCGACGTGCAGGGCTGCTCAGGTGCCTGCAGCACTGCCCCCCGAGGTACGGGCAGGAATGGGGGTCACTGCAAGGCATGGGCAGGGCTGGAGGTCACTCTGAGGTACAGGCAGGGCTGGAGGTCACTCCAAGGCACAGGCAGGGCTGGAGGTCACTCTGAGGTACAGGCAGGGCTGGAGGTCACTCCAAGGGATGGGCACAGTTGGAGATCACTTCCAGGCCCAGGCAGGGCTGGAGGTCACTCCAAGGCATGGGCAGGAATGGAGGTCACCCTCTGCGCCCTCACAGCTCTTTTGCATAATTGCAGCAATTGGGTTTCCAAGAGCAAAGTCTCCCAGGAAAGTGGCAGTGAACTCGCTGCTCCTGAGCAGCACCTGGGAGATGGGGTCACTGCGGATGAAGAGCCAGGACCTGCTCCGGGGGGCTGCCAGGAGCATGAGCAGGGGACCAGGGCAGGAGCAGCACCCCAGGACATCCCTGCCCTCCCTGCTGCAGGACAGATGGGCTGGGGGCAATGGGAGAGAAACCCAGGGGTTCATTCCCTGTGCACTCTCAGGCTTTGCACTTGTGCCACAGGCACCTGCCAGCCCCCAGAACTGCTGCTGCCCTCAGCCAGCGCATTCTACTAAGATTTCGTTCTTGCTTGTTGAGCTTGAGCCCAAAATAAAGAGAGCACACAGCCCCTGATCTGTGGCAGAGCCTGACCCGGGTGGCAGCACCTCCTCCTCCTCCCCAGAGCAGTTTCTGGGAAGCAGAAGTGCTGAGCCTGCCCACGGGACTGACAGAACACAGCAAGCACAGGAGCCGGGCAGGGAATGACTCGGCAGCCACCCACTGCTCCCCTCAGCAGCAGCAGAGGCAGCACCAAGGGAACTTCTCTTCCTGCAGTGGGCCAGAGTGGGGGGCAACGCCCCGACCCCCAGGACAGGGAATCCCACCAGGCCCCTGAGCACCGAGGCTGAAGGTGCTCTGGACCCTGAGAGCAATGGAACCCACCAAGCACAGGCTTTTGAAAACCAGATTTATTTAAATAACTTTAAATACATTACAATAGAAGAATAGAAATGACACCAAAGCCATGTTACTGCACAGGGTGAGGCAGCAGCCACCAGGCTCTGCAGCTCCAGGGATGCTCCTTGTGTCAGTCCATCAGCCCTTGTCACAAGTTTAACCCATGGGACAGCTCCTCCACGTAGCTGGTACCTCAGGACGCGCAGGTACTGGCACCTGAGCTGCAGCCATCGTGCCTCCAGGTCACTCTTCTGTCACTCCTTCCAAGCCAGGCTTCCCCAGATCCCTCTGCCTCCGGGAGCCAGCACTGCCCAGAGGGACGGTGCCGTGTCCTGGTGCCACCAGGCAGGACAGAAATCCCCTCTGCCGGGACGGAAGCACAGCTGGACTGAGGAGCCATCAGGACAGGCCAAGTCCCTGGGCTGAGCTGGGCACAGCTGGGACCTGTGGCTGCAGGCTGGATGGTGCCAGCGCCCGCGCCACCTCTGGGAAATGAGGGACAGCCAGACGAGATAGCATGGGCTCGTGTCAGTTTATTACATCACCAATTACAACAGTCCAGACTCAACAGTGGACCCAAGATCGTTACATTACACAAACCGGCTGGTTTTAAACTTATGACAAGGGACAGGTGGGAATTTCATGGTAAGGTTATCTTCCTGCATAAAGCTCCAGTGGACCACAGGCACTTAAAACCCGTGGACTTTCAGCTGGTCGTCCTTAGCCAGTCCAATCTGCAAGACAGAAAACGCATTCACAGCACGGGGTGATGCCTCTGCATGTCCAAACGCTGCCCACACCCAGGGACCCGTGTGCATTTAACGAACTTGTGCTGATTTCAGCAAGGCTGAAGGTGTCCTACCTCCACAAGGAACTGGCAGATGTTCTTGCGCTGGTCACCCTGCAACTGAATCACTTCTCCATACTCGGGGTGCTCAATTACAGTACCATTGCAGGCAAATTTCTGCAGCAAAGACACAAAAGCTTCCTTAGCACCATAAACATCCCTGCTGGGCGTGGCTGCTGCGTCCCCCCCCACGGAGCCCCAAAATCCCACCTTCTTGAAGGCCTTCACCAGTTTCTTTTTATCGTAGTCATCCGCGATGCCCTGGACTGTGGTGAGGGTCTTCCTGCCGTTGCGCTGCTGGATCCTTATATGGATGTAGTCCTCAGTGCCGGCCGGGAGCAGGTCATCACCCTTACTTGCATCCGCAAAGGGGTCTGCGGGGAGCGCCGTCAGGCCCCGCCCCGCCGCCGCGCCATTGGCCGCCGCGCCCGCCCATCACGCGGAGAGCACCTCCCATTGGCCGCCGCGCCCGTCCGTCACTCCTCGGTCCCGCCCCCACCCTTCAGCATGGCGCCCGCCCCTGCCCTCACCCCATTGGCCGCCGCACCCGCCCGTCACACCCGAGCCCCGCCCCCGCCCCCCCCGCGGCTGACGCAACCGGGCCCGGAATAGCAACTGCGCCACGGGGCGGGGCCGGGGCGGGGCCCGCGCGCTCCCCCGGCCCCACCGCACAAAGGGCCTCACCGAAGGGCTGGAGGTTCTGGATAGCGGACATACGATACGCTTCCCTTCCCTCGGCGGAGGCGGCGGCGGCGGCGGCGGGGGCGGCTCTGGCGGCGGGAGCGGCTCTGGGCGGAGGATGCTCTCGCGGCGGCGGCTCGAGGCGCTGTCAGGGGGGCGGGACTGTCGCCGACCGCTTATATATCGCCCCACCGTGACGCCATCACGCACGGCGAACGAGGGCGATGATTGGCCGCCGCGCGGGGGCGTCAGGACGTATCGGGCGAACGCGGCCGCGCCCCGGCCGGCACGGGGGGAGCGGGGCGCATGCGCAGGAGGAGGTCCCGGCAGCGCGCGCGGGGCGGCGCGTGCGCAGTGCGGGGCCGCGGCCGGGGCCGCACCCCGGGACCCCCGGGGCCCCAAAATCCTCCCGGGACCCCCCAAATCCTGCTGGGGCAGCCGCCCTCCTCCCCGAGACCCACAGAATACCCCCCTGAGCCACAGAGTGCTCCCCGCCACCGCCCCCACACCTCCAGATCCCCCTTGGGACTCCCCCCACAGAACGCGGCACGCCCGGAGCCCTCACGGCGCTCCCAAATCCCCTCCGGCCCTCACAGATGTTCTTGGGGCCCTCCAACTCTCCGTGAAACACCCTTGTTGTGCCCCCCACAACCTCTCTGGGACCCCCGAACTCCCCTGCGAGTGCCAGGGTCCCCCAA